ACGGGTACAAGAGAATTTCTTCGCTAGACAGTTAATCACTCGTATAAATATATGTAGTCACGGAAAATTGTCTCATTGTCCGTTAAATTTGATTTTTTTTTTCGTTTTTTTTCTTTTGCTTCTTAGTTCGTGCATGTCATTGAAAATCGAAAATTGAAACTTCACGAGTGCTCATAGCTTCCAACTATGAGATTCCATGGATCTTGAGTATTAAATGCGATAGCAGTGATGATTATAAGAGGCCGTTGTTATCTCTAATTATTCCTTGTTTTGATTCTTGATTTTATTGGGAATATGCTTCAAGAATTCCTCGTACGCCGCGTCTATCTCGTCGTCTTCCGCCGATGTCCATGTCACGTGGTCCTCGAAATCATCGTCTGATATTCTAAAAGAAAAGAAAATAAACGCTACCATCGCGTCCGACATTTTCATAATGATGATGATAATAATAACAACAACAACAACAACAACAATAATAATAATAATTGTAGGTACATACACATAATTCTCAAAATTTGTCGTGCAGTCGGCGACGTCCGCCAAAAATTTATTTTCTTCCGCGGTTAACACTTTACCGTCAGGACCATAAAACACGGGTTCATCGAGAACTTCATTCTGATCGGTGTTCTCCGTGGATTCCACCGAAGAATCCACAGTCGGAGTGTGTCCCCAATTACCATTTCTCAGTTGGTGAACACTGTGCACCATTCGTCCTATGTGCGTGTCAACCCTACCAGTTGTCACGAGCTCTGTCAGCGCACGCATCATGTTTTCCATCTCTTTCCGACTCCCTCCTTTGCCTTTTTCTAAAGTGTGTCCTGCCAACTGTACATTAAGATGTAAACTATCTCATAATTTATACCGTTACACGTCAATCACCGTAGAAACACTACACACTTTAAGGGCTTGGCAGATATTCTTCACAGAATTCGGCGCCGGCTTCTTTAAGATATTGATGATAAGCTGAATTAATAAATCTCCCAAACCAAAGGTAGTCGTGTGCTCCATTTGAATAACCAGTTCGGCTAGGAATAATATCAGTCCATGGCATTTCTTCTGTTCCTCCTCCGTGTGATCATCTTTCTCCTTCCAATTGGAAGTGTGATTCTCCATTTCGCTTTTACACCTGTTTACCGAGTTAAACGTTATACGAGAAACATTCGAGACGAAGACGGTCAATTTCATTCGTGTTCGGCAACTCACAAAGTATATAAAGTTTCTCTGAACAACTTCTGCTGGGTGGGCGATATTGCGGAGTCCAAAGACGCGCATAGTCGGGCACCACTGTACCGGAAGTTACCTTCGGTTATGGACTGAAAAATCCGTGGAACGTAAATTCGAAATGTCTTGCCTTAATCGGAGCGAAAGAACGAATGATGAATATTCACCTGCTGAATGATCACTTTTATAATTTCTTGAAGATCACAAGGGGTTTTTAAATAAAAACTAATGTCGTTTATGAGCGGCGGTACAATCGATGTGAATCGACCTGGATTTAATATTAAGGAGTGTATAACGCTCATCAGCTTTTCCTTCATGTTCACCAGTGCAAAGAAATGATTTTCTTGATCTGTGTGCAACATCTACAATCAGAAAGCAATCGATCTTATCCCCGCTTATCTTATCCTCGCTCCACTCTAAACATATTTTGATATATTCACCTCGTACATATGCATGTAACCCAAATCTTCATCAAACAATCTGGAATTCTGAATATTCGAGGGCTGCTTCGCTTGCTGTTGTTGCAAAAAGTTATCGCACTGCTGCACTTGATCTATCTGCTGGTAATGCTGAGAAGTATCGTAGTTGGACACAGGATTTTGTACTTGTTGCATCTGATATGCCTGAAGCGGTATTTCACGAGCTATTTGTATTCTGTCTTGAACCGAACGTTTCTGCAAGAATTTCACCGTTGACTGTTGTCACCGTACGATACAAACATGGAAATCTCTTTGTCCAACCAAACGCAAAGACATACCCGTGTTGCTATAGAATACTAACCAACGGTTGCTTCCTGGAATACGACTTTGGAAAGAACTCAGCCGCGTGCACGGACAGCGTTGAATTCTGTATAATATTATTAGTAAACTGATCGGGTTTATCCGACTTGCTTTGCTCTGTATCTTTAGTATCTGTGGAGGCTGCGATCAAACCATTGAATTATCAGTATCGAGAGGAACATTTCTAACCGACCATCGAGACTCGAAATATTTTATTATAGGAACCTGCGGTTTGTACTCCGGATATAGCATGGGGTCTCCGTAATACAGAAACCTCGTTCGAGGGGGAAGTCCACGGCCCGCGACCTCGACCGCGTCCTGCTCCCCGTCGCTCCGTATCTCCGTCGCTGTAACTGTCTGCTCCGAGAGGATCCATCCTCTCCGCGACAGAAATCTGTCTATCGACCCTAGGGCGACTGGAGGTTAGGCTGAAACGATACCGGTGCGAGACTGTCACCCGCGAGCAAATATATGGTACAAGTTCCGTAATTGTGCGTATATCACCGACATAAGTTGGACAATTCCGGCGACGAACCCGTTAGGTTCGTTAACCAGGATAAAATGCGTGTGCTGCTTTGTAAACAGAATATTAAAGGCGAATCTGCTCGCACCAGTTCACTGCTGGACCGACTGCGATCGATACTCAAACATGAGAAGTTGGTTGACAGTGGGGTTGGCCATTTTACCAGAACGACATTTATCGAAAATATCGTTTCGGGCAGCATCTTGCCTCGATCTTACGACATTATTGCGATTCTCGAAGTGCGAAACACCGGAATTCAAATATTTCAGCGAACGTGAATCAGAAACGGGGTCAATTTCGAAACACTGCAGCTAAATCGAACATTATTTCCTAACGTTAACGATTCCAGCAATTTGAAAATCATCTAAGACCGTATCGGGTTCTCGACGGATTTTCTATTCTATCGGATTTCTTCGATTCTTCGATTTTCACCTACTACTTAAATCGGTAACTTGAAATGCTCGATCACAGACTAGAAAATTGATTAATTATCAATTATCAACGAACGTTCATCCTTCTATTGTCTTACCGTGAATGCAAATTGCTCCGGGATAAATCGTTTACACCAGGCACATCCGAACTAAGTCTCCTTCTCCCATTCATCGCACTAATTACGAACTACGAAGCTGCCGAGGTGTTTCGTTTACTTATTAATCAAATTAAACGATCGAAGAAAAAGAAACATTACAATTTATAAATGTATATTTGCCATCGTTCGAACTGGAACGTTTCCCGTGGTACATGGAGGGGGCGGAACATGGCGTATGAAGGGCCTTACCCATAGATGTCCCTGGTTTAGACGATCGATGGATCATTTTCGTTAGAATGCAAATATATTAACGCAAATGTCGAATATCACGGTGTGTATTTCGTATTGTCATGCAATCTTTGTACGTTGTCATGCGAAGGAACGAAAATAAAGTAACCTAACAACCACCTAACATGTACCAGACGACCCACGCACTACTGCGACTCTGGGAAACCGAGGAGAAAAGACTTTCCCCTTGAGAATCTCGGTTCTCTTACGAAAATCTTCGACTGAACGCAAACACGACTTTTTTGCTTTTGTTTTTGACAATATCGTTTCCCTCTCTGTCAACGAAGAACTAGAATCTTCTCTTTTTTCGAGGTTAATCGGCAAGTTTTCTAACGCGTGGTATCAGCGCGGCGACCGGAGTGTGGCTTTTCATGGGAAATTTCTCTGATCGAGAATTCTCATGCGTAGTTTCGTCCGAACAGGAGACAACCGAGTTGCTAGAAAATACGTGGTACCGCCGCAGATGCGAATATTCGATGCAAGAATCTACAACTTTCGTGAAAGGGCGAATAAGGATGACCCGTATGTCCGTTATTCCCGTGGAACGTGTCGCACTATGCTCTTGATACAGCGCGGACCAAGAGACGTTTAATTCGTCGGTAGACAGAGAAATAACAGAAAATATCGTACAGCCGAAACGAGGAGAACGTGAACGCAGAAATTGAATCGAAAGAAAAAGTGGTTCCCCTTTGTCGGGCTAGGCAGGGGCCGTGGACTTCCTCCTCGTAATACTCGTAGAACTCATGGTGAATAATTGATAGAGAACAGTGTTAGAATTTACCAAGAATGCGTTGTCTATGAGGAGGAACCGACGAAATAAATCTGTCGCGTTTCACTGGCAAATGGTACGAGCATTAAAACTTTCCTACCGAAAAGAAGATTCGCGAGTCTAGTTTCTATTAGCTCGGCCATCGCTCGAAAGAGGCGCCTTCGACGAACTCGTTACGAGGTTACGATCGTTGACACGGACACAGAATCCTGTCGGGATGAACCTCCGTGATCTTTAACCGACAATGTCGATTAATTACCAGGCATGCTCGCGAGTATTCTTATTCGTGTATATCCGAGCTGGCCTATTGACGATCTGAAAAGGCATTTCCCGAGCGACGTGAAAAATCGCACGAACGCATATGATTCATAAGAAATCCCGTGTCAAAGTCGACCGTATCAGGTACGTCATTTTCGGTTCTCGAAAACAATGTAGAAAGTGAAACGAAAACACTGGAATCCTTCACGTATCGGTGTGCACAGTGTTGTTTCACCGTCTGCCCGAACATTACCGGGTTATTCTACTGATTCGACCAATGATAGACGCTTTGCGTGTCGAGATAAACATCCTTACTTCCTTGAATTCTTGTAGGGTCACATACGGAATCAAGTGCACTCTGAGATGTTAGAAGTTGGTCTGAGGGTGGTCCGTGGACAGGATTGGGAGTGGGACGACCAAGATGGTGGAGAGGGCCATGCTGGAACCGTTGTGGAAATTGGCAAGCCTCCCTCCTTCGGGAATTCCGCTTCCAGTCCGAATCCCTCTGACAGAACGCCGGATAAAACGGTCATCGTGGAGTGGGACCACGGGTCTAGAAGTAACTACAGAATCGGGTATCAAGGAGCTTACGATCTGTTGGTATTCGACAATGCAGCCACCGGCGTTAAACACGCGCACATTATTTGTGATGGATGTAAAAAGCACGGGATAATCGGTATTAGATGGAAGTGCGCCCAATGCCCTGATTACGACTTGTGTACTCAGTGCTACATGGCCGATGTGCACGATCTAACTCATACTTTCCAAAGATTTCAAACGGCTAATTCCATGGGGTTGGTCTTCTAGATACTATTGTAACTGTTTAACAATAATGGATGTAATTGATTAATAATCGATTTCATAGGGTCCAATTAACTCAGAGAAAAGGTTGTACTAAAATACCTCTGAAGGGAATATTTATTGGGGCAAAAGTTGTCCGTGGTCCGGATTGGGAATGGGGAAACCAGGATGGAGGTCCAGGTACTGCAAGCTTTCTATGGCACTATGAAATAAAATAATCCAAGTTAATTTGTAACACTAATTCTGAAATATTCCAGGGAAAACTGGTAGAGTTATGGACATACGTGGTTGGGACAATGAAAGTAGCCGTTCCGTGGCAACCGTGACTTGGTCCAAGGGCAGCACAAATGTGTACAGACTCGGATACAAGGGTTGCGTAGATTTGTGCTACGTAGAGGAAGCTACGGCTGGCACATACTATAAAGAGCATCTTCCTCTCCTTGGTCAACCAGTGCCAACTGTGTCCGATAACGGAAGCGTCTCCACACCAGCCAAGAGTGGTATTCCTTGCACTGTGTCTAGTCCATGTCACTCAACATTTAATGTTGGAGATAAAATAAAAGTATTGGTTAGTGTAGAAATGTTAAAGGAAATGCAAGAAGGTCACGGCGGTTGGAACTCGCGTATGGCCGAATACATAGGCAAGGTATACAGCTTACAAACGATCGCGATCATTCGAAGCATCGATCTGTTCGATCGCCTAATTGCTACAATTGATCGACCCAGGTTGGCAGAGTTCACCGGATCACGGAGAAAGGGGATGTCCGTGTACAATTCGAGGGATGCAACAATAGATGGACCTTCCATCCAGGAACGCTCACAAAGGTCACGTGTAAGGACACATTTTCCCTGGGCGATATAGTTCGAGTGAAAACCGATTTGTCCGCCGTGAAACTGTACCAACGTGGTCACGGCGAATGGATAGACGTTATGAAAAACGCCCTAGGGAAAACGGGGAAAGTGATCAAGATCTATTCGGACGGAGATTTACGAGTAGCGTTAGACGGTCACACGTGGACGTTCAACCCGTTAAGCGTGACCCTCGTTCCTCCAGGAACCGAGACCGTTGCCATCCAGGACGAGGCGAACAGAAGCAGAGATTGGGCAGGTACGTTGAAACCGTTTCAATAGCTGTGAACGGTGTCGCTTTGCCATAGTTATCATCTTCCATAATCCCGTTAGGTGAAGACGTAGACACAGAGGTTGAGAAACTGTTAAGAGACGCCGCCAGAGGAGAAGCAGGCGTGTCCGCGGTTCAAGAATTCCTGAAGAAGTACCCCGGCAGAGTGGACGCCAGAGCCGGTGGTCCCGGCGGCGGGAAGAAGACGTGTCTACAAGTCGCGGCGCACCAGGGGCAACGGGATCTCTGTGTCCTCCTGCTGGACGCCGGGGCGTCCTTTCGAACGGTGGACGAAGATGGGGACACGTCTCTTCATTACGCCGCATTTGGGTTTGTCATAAACGCGAGAACTAGATTATCCCTGTCGATGGAACGGATGCAACAGAAACACTGTGTTTACCCTGCGCAGCAATCAACCAGAAATAATGGAGCTGCTTTTGTTGCGCGGCGCGCCGATTAACGCCGTGAACTTTGGCAAATGCAGCAGCCTGCATGTCGCCGTGAACAAGAAACACGCGCAGTGCGTGAAGGTTCTGTTGCGCCATAACTGCGACGTGAATTTACAAGACTCGTACGGGGACACGGCGCTGCACGACGCCATCGGCAAAGACGCTATAGGGAAAGACGCCTTGGACATCATCGACGCGCTCTGCTCCTGCGACAGGGTCGACTTCACGTTGGAGAACAAACGAGGCTTCAACGTGTTGCACCACGCCGCTCTCAAGGGCAACGCTCAGTACGTTACGCGCCATTGTTTCGCTGGAGTACAGAGTAGAGGAGATGTTTAATCATTCGAGTTCGCGTGTTTCCGTAGCGCGACCGAGAAACTGGTGGCGCGGGCGAGGCACCTGGTGGACGTGAAGAAAGAAGACGGCTTCGCGGCGCTGCACCTGGCGGCGTTGAACGGCCACAGAGGAGTCGCGGCTATACTTCTCTCTCAGAACGGTGGCCACGCGAAAGTCAATTTGCGCAACAACCGTCGACAGACACCGTTGCATCTGGCCACGTCGCAGGGTCACTGGGCTCTGGTGGAGTTGCTAGTGCTTTACAACGCCGACATCGCCAGCACGGATGCCAGCGGTGACACGGTGTTGCACATTGCTGTGATGAAGAGTGTGAATCAAACGAACGTTGTTCCTACGCCGGAGAACAGTCGGTGCTCGCCCCTGATTTACGCCGTGAGTTTCACCGTCGATTCTCCTTTGAACGTCGGTCGAGTTACGCTGGTCGTTTTCATTTCAGATATGGCAGAACCTGGCTAGACAGGGCACCAAAACGGAGCTGGCGTTAGCCTGCTTCTTGGTGAGCGTCGACAGAAGCGGCACTCTACTGGAGCACGCGAAGAACTCAAAGAACAAGACGCCCATGGACATTCTGAAAGAGGATCGTCAGCTCGCGCAGTACGCCGATCTGCTACGCTGTTATCAATACCAAAGTCACGGAACTCAATTAGAGTATGTAGAGTAGGATAACCGTTACAGAGACGACGATCGTCGAGGCGGATTCTAACGTGCTCTGTGCAACACAGGATAGAGAATGCCCCCGTCCCGCAGCCTTCCATGTACCAGGTCGATCCTGCGTCGCAAACGGAAATGATCCGTGGGCCCAGGAAGAGCGGTGTGCCCAGTTCCAACGACACCGTCGAGTGCCAGGGTTGTTTAGGCTTAGTAACGAACACGAGCAAGGAAGGGAGCAGGTTCAATCCCGGCAGCAGCGTCGGGGTTATCAACTGTGCTCACTGCGGTTTCGGGATAGCCAAGACACAGGCGATTTCAGGTAATACTCTGAGATGTCTCTTTAACACGTTCAGTGCGGCGCCGATTTTGCTATACTTTCCGCTCAGGCGGCAGCGCGTGAGCATTCGATGCCGAACGCTAAACTAGACCGCGCGAAACAGCGCAACAGACGATTCCTTTTTTCCACTGTTTCTTTTGACGTTGCACTCTGACAATGGTGCAGGCAATGCACATGTATACAATGTATAAACATAAGATAATGGGGTGGGGAATGCCAGAGAGACAAAAGTGCGAACACCAAGAAACGATCAGTCTGAAAAAGCCGCGGGAGTACGCTAAATTTTAATGTAAATTTTTTCATTGTCATTAATAATTTAACCCTTTAAAATGCTGGTCTCATGCACCGATGTCGACCAAGCGAGAAGTTCGCTGTCAGTCCCTAGAATCCACGCCGCCCAAACGAAAAGTCTACTGTCAGTCCCCAGGGACTGACGCCGCTTGAACGGAAAGTCCACTGTCAGTCCCTAGGGACTGACGTGGCACTCAACGTGTTAAAAAGACACCACTCTCGACAACAAGGAGAAACCGGCGGGAAAACGATTCCCCTCTAGCTTGAACATCGAGTTAAACTTACGCGAGAGTCCATTGGAATATCGGAACCGTTACCGATCACTTCTACGCTCCTTTGTCTTTCGAAGATCCGGCTGGCTCGATGTTCAAACTTGCCCGCTCGGAAAGACTAACGGTAGAAGCCACGTCAACCTGCCGCGGTCGAGTTTCAAATAATAATTGTACGTCGACGATCTCGCCTAGACATGGACGGCCAATCAACGGCTGGCGAGATCCCGTTGATGAAGTCCGAGGACAAGGTGAAGGACACCGCGCTGGAGAACAAGAAGAAAGAGGAGAACGAGGAGAAGGAGAGAGAGAAGGACAAAGATTTGGAACGTCTGCGTTACTTGGAAACCAGGGTAGCCGATTTGGAAGAGGCGAACATGTGCAGCATTTGCATGGAGCGTCGTCGCAACGTCGCCTTCCTCTGCGGCCACGGTGCCTGCGAGCACTGCGCGACCCCGTTAAAGACTTGCCACATGTGTCGCAAAGTGATCACGAAGAAAATCAATTTATACTAGACAATCGTCGGAGGGCAGCTTTCCTCGGAGGCGGAAGGTCCGTTAGAACTGTAAAAAGATTGGAAACACTTGGAAACTTCGACTGCCAAAATATACAGGTTTTCCTCGGTTTTTTCTCTCTTTTTTTTTGTTTTTGTTTCTTTCGTACGTCTAGCGTGAAACGTTTAAAGTCTTCTCCGATTGCACCAGGCGTTGTGCCATAAACGAACATGTCCGTTCACGCGAACACGGGACACCGAACTTTACTTTTAGGCGCTCCGGTTACCGATTCGATTCCCCGATCGCGTATTTCACCGGATACACACGGTAACGCGTTTTTCCTTTCTTACGCAAGCGACGTCTCGCTTGTCGCAATCCCGTCCATTTTTTACCTTCGTTCGAGGACACGAAAGTATCCGATAAGAATCGATTTTTCGTACCTAGGCATTCAACGCGCAGCTTTATCGTGAAACATTACCATGGATCAGTGGTGTAAATAGTGGTAGTAATAGCAGAGCTCGCCGGTACCGTGAGACAACAGCTTTCTCGAGTACGCTCTCTCCCCGGCACGGTTCACGGGTCGAGTATCGGCGGTTCGAGTGAACACTAGCGAACCGCGAAGCTTTTTTACATATCGTATCATACCTTTTCACGATACATCATGTATATTGTTAACGATTGTAGAGTACGAGGGCGATTTCTATTGTTTTATATGTAATATCAATGTGACATTAGTGATAGTATAATAACGATGATGGATGATGGATGATAGATGATGATGATAGTAATAATAATGAACGATAAGAGGGCACGTTCGTCTTAAAGGATATCGAAGGATATC